TACATTAAGGAGCAGAAGTATGGGATTGCAGCCCCAATTTTTTTTTTTTTTTTTTTGGTTAGACAGAGTTTCGCTCTTATTGCCCAGGCTGGAATGCAATGGCACGATCTCGGCTTACTGCAACCTCTGCCTCCCAGGTTCAGGTGATTCTCCTGCCTCAGCCTCTCGAGTAGCTGGAATTACAGGCATGTGCCACCACACCTGGCTGATTTTTTGTATTTTTAGTAGAGATGGGTTTTTTCCATGTTGGTCTGGCTGATCTCGAACTCCCAACCTCAGGTGATCTGCCCGCCTCAGCCTCCTAAAGTGCTGGTCTTACAGGCGTGAGCCACTGCGCCCGGCCAATTGCAGCCCCTCTTACACAGTCCTGGGTCATATGTTTTGACTGGGACCTAGCTGTGGTTTTTTTGTTTTTGTTTAGTTTGTGTTTTTTTTTGTTTTTTTTTGTTTTTTTTGAGACGGAGTCTCGCTGTGTCGCCCAGGCTGGAGTGCAGTGGCCGGATCTCAGCTCACTGCAAGCTCTGCCTCCCGGGTTTTTACGCCATTCTCCTGCCTCAGCCTCCCGAGTAGCCGGGACTACAGGCGCCCGCCACCTCGCCCGGCTAGTTTTTTGTATTTTTTAGTAGAGACGGGGTTTCACCGTGTTAGCCAGGATGGTCTCGAACGCCTGACCTCGTGATCCGCCCGTCTCGGCCTCCCAAAGTGCTGGGATTACAGGCTTGAGCCACCGCGCCCGGCCTAGTTTGTGTTTTTTAGACAGAGTCTCGCTGTGTTACCCAGGCTGGAGTGCAGTGGTGTGATCTTGGCTCACTGCAACCTCTGCCTCCCAGGTTTAAGCAGTTCTTCTGCCTCAGACTTCCGAATAGCAGGGATTACAGGGGCGTGCCGCCACACCCAGCTAATTTTTGTATTTTTAGTAGAGATGGGGTTTCATCATGTTGGCCAGGCTGGTCTCGAACTTCTGACCTTCAGTGATCCATCTGCCTCGGCCTCCCAGAATTCTGGGAATTTTTTTTTTTTTTTTTTTTTTTTTTTTTTTTTTTGAGACGGAGTCTCGCTCTGTCGCCCAGGCTGGAGTGCAGTGGCCGGATCTAAACTCACTGCAAGCTCCGCCTCCCGGGTTTACGCCATTCTCCTGCCTCAGCCTCCTGAGTAGCTGGGACTACAGGTGCCCGCCACCTCGCCCGGCTAGTTTTTTGTATTTTTAGTAGAGACGGGGTTTCACCGTGTTAGCCAGGATGGTCTCGATCTCCTGACCTCGTGATCCGCCCATCTCGGCCTCCCAAAGTGCTGGGATTACAGGCTTGAGCCACCGCGCCCGGCCAAATTCTGGGATTATAGGTATGAGCCACTGCACCCGGCCTAGCTGTGACTGTGTATTTTAGAATGAAGCTGTGACTAATGCTGGGTATTGGCCTTCATCTAGGGTGCAGGCTGGTGGGAAGATTTTTTTTTTCTGTGCAAGTTGTGGATCCATCAGGTAGTCATTCCCGAAAAAGTAGTCATCAGAAAAACAGAACAAAAAGAGTGGGGACTGGAAAGCTGCTATTAGATGGTGTCTTGAGGTCCACACTCTCCAGGAACCTTAAATACCTCTGTTGTTGCTGCTGCTGCTCATGCCTCTAATGCAACAAAGACCCAGATCTCCAAGGTTGTCAGAAATAACCCTCATGGCATCCTTGTAGCTCAGCAAAGATGTTAGTTCAGACCTAAAAAAAGCCCTGTGTCCTTCAACCACACAAAGCGTCTCTCACCATGCAGGAGGCCCCTAACTGATAGTAGTTATTTGAAGATCTCTGGAGGAAAAAAAGTACATGTGCTGTAGTAGAGAGGGCCCTCCCCTCCCCAAAGTATTTCCAATGAGCAGAAAACAAAACAGTGAAGGAGAGCTGGGCACGGTGGCACACGCCTGTAATCCCAGCACTTTGGGAGGCTGAGGCAGGTGGATCGTCTGAGGTCAGGAGTTGGAGATCAGCCTGGCCAACATACCGAAACAACATCTCTACTAAAAATACAAAAAAAAATTAGCTGGGCCTGGTGGCGAGTGCCTATAATCCCAGCTACTAGGGAGGCTGAGCCAGGAGAATTGCTTGAACCCGGGAGGCAGAGGTTGCAGTGAGCCAAGATCGCACCATTGCACTCCAACCTGGGCAACAAGAGCGAAACTCCGTCTCAAAAAAAAAAAAAAAAAAGTGAAAGAAGGAAAATAGATTTTTGTTGTTTTCTTTATTCCAACAACAAAACCTGAAACAAAAGTCCATAATTTGAGCCATTTGGAAATTGAATATATACTAAAAGCATCTGACAAAATTCAACACCCCTTTCTTGATTAAAAAAAGAACAACCTAACAAACTAGGAATAGAAGAAAAATACCCAGGCCGGGCGTGGTGGCTCACGCCTGTAATCCCAGCACTTTGGGAGGCCAAGGCGGGCAGATCACCTGAGGTCGGGAGTTCGAGACCAGCCTGACCAACATGGAGAAACCCCATCTCCACTAAAAATACAAAATTAGCCGGGTGTAGTGGCGCATGCCTGTAATCCCAGCTACTTGGGAGGCTGAGGCAGGAGAATCACTTGAACCTGGGAGGCAGAGGTTGCCGTGAGCTGAGATCGCGCCATTGCACTCCAGCCTGGGCAACAAAGAGAGAAACTCCATCTCAAAAAAAAAAAAAAAAAAAAAAAAAAAAGAGAAGAAAGAAAAATACCCAGCATAATAAAAGCCATATTTGAAAACACAGCTAATACCATATTCAGCAGTAAAAGACAAAGCTGTTCCTCTAAGATCCGGATAAAGGACATTGCTTCTGTTTGACATACTGCCAGCCCTCGCAGACCAATTAGACAATTAAAAAAAAAAAAAAAATAGGCCGGGCGCGGTGGCTCAAGCCTGTAATCCCAGCACTTTGGGAGGCCGAGACGGGCGTATCACGAGGTCAGGAGATCGAGACCATCCTGGCGAACACGGTGAAACCCCGTCTCTACTAAAAAATATAAAAAACTAGCCGGGCGAGGCGGCGGGCGCCTGTAGTCCTAGCTACTCGGGAGGCTGAGGCAGGAGAATGGCGTAAACCCGGGGGGCGGAGCTTGCAGTGAGCTGAGATCCGGCCACTGCACTCTAGCCCGGGCGACAGAGCCAGACTCCGTCTCAAAAAAAAAAAAAAAAAATAGAAGGCATCCACATTGGACAGGAATACATAAAATTATCTCTTTTCATCAATGGCAAGATCCCTGTGAAGAAATCCCTCAAGATGCCACTTTTAGGCCAGTCATGGTGGCTCACGCCTATAATCCCAGCACTTTGGGAGGCCGAGGAGGACAAATTGCTTGAGTTTAGAAGTTCGAGACAAGCCTGGGCAACATGGTGAAACCCTATCTCTACAAAAAAAAAAAAAAAAAAAAAAAAAATTTGGCCAGGCATGGTGGCTCACACCTGTAATCCCAGCACTTTGGGAGGCCGAAGTGGGTAGATAACTTGAGGTCAGGAGTTTGAGATTAGCCTGGCCCACATGCTGAAACCCTGCCTCCACTAATAATACAAAACTTAGCTGGGCGTGGTGGCATGCACCTATAGTCCCAGCTACTCAGGAAGCTGAGACATAAGAATTGTTTGAGCCGGGCGCGGTGGCTCAAGCCTGTAATCCCAGCACTTTGGGAGGCCGAGACGGGCGGATCACGAGGTCAGGAGATCAAGACCATCCTGGCTAACACGGTGAAACCCCGTCTCTACTAAAAATACAAGAAAATTAGCCGGGCGAGGTGGCGGGCGCCTGTAGTCCCAGCTACTCAGGAGGCTGAGGCAGGAGAATGGCGTGAACCCGGGGGGGCGGAGCTTGCAGTGAGCCGAGATCGCGCAACTGCACTCCAGCCTGCACTCCAGCCTGAACCCAGGAGGCAGAGGTTGCAGTGAGCCAAGATCATGCCACTGCTCTCCAGCCTGGGCGACAGAGCAAGACTCGGTCTCAAAAAGAAAAAATAAAGAAAGAAATGCCAACGTCAAAGAAAGAGGCTGACGCACAAGTATAATTTAACAAGTTTACTTGAGCCAAAGTGAGAACAACTTCCTGGGAAACTCAGACCCGAGTGACCTTGGATATGAACTCCGTTCCACCTTTGTTACAAGCAGGTGTTTTTTTGGTTGTTGTTGTTTTCTGGTTTGTTTGTTTCTTTTTGTTTTTGTTTCTGTTTTTGTTTGAGACAGAGTCTTACTCTGTCACCCAGGCTGGAGTACAGTGGTGTAATCATGGCTCACTGCAACCTCCACCTCCTGGGTTCAAGCGATTCCCCCACCTCAGCCTCCCGAGTAGCTGGGATTACAGGCACCTGCCACCACACCTGGGTAATTTTTGTATTTTTAGTAAAGAGAGGGTTTCACCATGTTGGCCAGGCTGGTCTCAAACTCCTGACCTCAGATGATCTGCCTGCCTTGGCCTCCCAAAGTGCTGGGATTACAGGCATGAGCCACCACACCTGGCCAGAAGCAGGTTTTTAAAGGCAAAATGGGGTACAGGGAGGGGCTGGTATAAAGTTGTTTGGCAAGAATTCTCATTGGCTTACAGAAATGACATTGATTAGTAATTGGCTATCCATTGTTAAGCTATAGGACATGAGTTATAGTGTCTGGTGCAGCATTAGTAGGTTAATTTACAGCTGCTTGTGACAGTAGCAAGCAGTTTTAACAGGTGAGTGCATCGCTTAAAGTAGGGGGAGGATGTGATTACTGTCTCATTTTCATGCTGTCTCAGCCTAATAATTTTTTTTTTTTTTTAGATGGAGTCCTGCTCTGTCGCCCAGGCTGGAGTGCAGTGGTGCATTCTTGGCTCACTGCAAGCTCCGCCTTCTGGGTTCACACCATTCTCCTGCCTCAGCTTCCTGAGTAGCTGGGACTAGAGGCGCCCGCCACCACGCCCGGCTAATTTTTTTGTTTTTGGTAGAGACGGGGTTTTGCCTTGTTAGCCAGGATGGTCTCGATCTCCTGACCTCGTGATCTGCCTGCCTCGGCCTCCCAAAGTGCTGAGATTACAGGCGTGAGCCACCGCGCCCAGCCCTCAGCCTAATAATTTAAAAGATCTCGTTTCAGACCAAACTGAGGGTTGGGCTGCGATTTCTCATGGCCCAATAGCAAGACACAGATGAACTGGGGAGGAAGAGAGTTTTTATTTCTGCACCTGGTTATAGGGAGAAGGCCTGGAAATTATCACCAGACCAACTCAAAATTACAAAGTCTTCCAGAGCTTATATACCTTCTAAGCTATCTGTCTACGTGTAAGTGTGCACTCTTCTAAAGACATGTGATTGAGTGATGTGACATGCAGCCTGCGGTCTGTACGTGTGCGCAGTCGCTCCTTCCTCGACCCCTAGCTTTGTGGTAGCAGCAGATGGGACCACAGTTCAGTCACCAACATGCAGCGCTTTGTCTGCGCCCAGGAGCTACACACCCTTGAAGTGACCGGCCAGGAGACGGTCGCCCAGATCAAGGCTCATGTAGCCTCCCTGGAGGGCATTGCCCCAGGAGATCAAGTTGTGCTCCTGGCAGGCACGCCCCTGGAGGATGAGGCCACCATGGGCCAGTGTGGGGTGGAGGCCCTGATTAGCCAAGTAGCAAGCTGTATGCTTGGAGGTAAAGTCCATGGTTCCCTGACCCATGCTGGGAAAGTGAAAGGTCAGACTCTTAAGGTGGCCAAACAGGAGGAGGAGGAGGAAGAGGGGGAGGAGGAGGGGAAGGGGGGAGGAGGGAGGAGGAAGAAAGAAGATGACAAGCCAGGCTAAGCGGCAGATGCAGTACAACCGGCACTTTGTCAACATTGTGCCCACCTTTGGTAAGAAGAAGGGTCCCAATGCCAACTTTTTTTTCTTTTTGAGACGGGGTCTCACTCTGTCACCCAGGCTGGAGTGCAGTGGTGCAATCTCGGCTCACTGCAAGCTTCGCATCCCGGGTTCATGCCATTCTCCTGTCTCAGCCTCCCCAGTAGCTGGGACTACAGGCACCTGCCACCACGCCTGGCTAATTTATTTATTTATTTTTTTATTTGTTTTTTATTTTTAGTAGAGACCAGGTTTCACCATGTTAGCCAGGATGGTCTTGATCGCCTGACCTCGTGATCCACCCGCCTCAGCCTCCCAAAGTGCTGGGATTACAGGTGTGAGCCACTATGCCCGGCCCCCCCACCCAGTGCCAACTCTTAAGTCCTTTGTAATTCTGGCTTTCTCTAATAAAAAAGCCACTTAGTTTAAAAAAAAAAAAAAGATATAAGCGATTGACTTATTTTAATCTTATTTTAATTGACTTAACTAAGGTCTGAGTCCTGAAGACCTTCTTCTGGAGCTCAGTAAATTTACTTAATTCTAAATGGGTCCAGGTGCTGGAGTGATTACCCTTCTCTTGTCTCCAGCTAAATCATGGAGGTTTGGGGAGTTCCTTCAGACCCTAATAAACTTGTTTGTGGAGGCCTGGGGAGTTTCTTCAGAACCCCAGTAAAACTCGTTTAACGCTTAATGGTTCTTTTAAGAATTCCTTCGTGGCCCTGCTCGGTGGCTCACGCCTGTAATCCCAGCACTTTGGGAGACCGAGGTGGGCAGATCACGAGATCAGGAGATCGAGACCATCCCGGCTAACACGGTGAAACCCTGTCTCTACTAAAAGTACAAAAAATTAGCTGGGCATGGTGGCACGCACCTGTAGTCTCAGCTACTTGGGAGGCTGAGGCAGGAGAATCGCTTGAACCTGGGAGGCGGAGGTTGCAGTGAGCCGAGATCGTGGCTGGGCAACAGAGTGAGACTCCATCTCAAAAAAAAAAAAAAAAAAAAAAAAAAGATTTCCTTCATTATTTTTGTCATGCATTAAAGCCCAGGAAAGGCCTAGGAAAAACTTTTTGGTGGGCTTTTGTTACATCCCAACCTTTATGTAAGGGCTCTGGCTTTTAATATTTAACTTAACCACTCAGTACTGAAACAGTTGTTACGGAGGTCTGCGTTACTGAGACCTGGCCTGCCACAGTCTCACATTCTTCAGATAAACGTTCTTTTCTCATAACCTACACTTATCTTCCTATATACTTTAAATCATCTCTAGGTTATTTATAATACCTAATACAATGCAACTGTTGTGTAAATAGTTGTTATAATAAGTCATTTAGGAGATAATGAGGGGGGAAAAAGCACATATTCATTACAGACACAGCCAACCAATTTTTTTCTGAATATTTTCAATTCATAGCTGGTTGAATCAATCCATGGATGCAGAACCCAGGAATATGGAGGGCTGACTGTATGAGATTTCAGCAAAGTTGAAAGAAACAAAATCAGCGAAAAAAATAATACATTGTGTTTCTACACACTAGCGGTGACCAGGCAGAAAAGAAAATTAAGAAAACAATCCCATTTACAATGGCACAAAAACAAACAAATACTTGAGAATAAATGTAACCAAGAAGATAAAAGACTTTTAAACTGAAAGCTACAAAGCAATGCTAAAAGAAACTAAAGACACCGGGCGCAGTGGCTCACACCTGTAATCCCAGTGCTTTGGGAGGCCTAAGGCAGGCGGATCACCTGAGGTCAGGAGTTTGAGACCAGCCTGGCCAATATGGTGAAACCCTGTCTCTACTAAAAATACAAAAATCAGCAGGGCGTGGTGGTGCACGCATGTAGTCCCAGCTACTTGGAAGGCTGAGGCAGGAGAATCACTTGAACCCGGGAGGAGGAGGTTGCAGTGAGCCGAGATCACACCACTGCACTGCAGCCTGGGCAACAAGAGACTCCATCTCAAAAAAAAAAAAAAATACAAATACCTAGAAAGACATCTGTTATATTGTGAAATATTGATTTTGATTTGTTTCCTTGGCCTACAGCTCCTAAAAGTCTTGGAATCACCAAAGTGATGATGAGGTGACTAGTGACTGGGGGCCCCGATAGCCTCAGGATGGGGTGGTTGCCAGGGGAAGCAACCGTGTGATTAGATGGCTGGGATACTCCGCTTCACCCCTGACCTCCCTGTGTGACTGGAAGGAAGGCCATGAGTGTGAGTTGTCCAGGTCCTTGGAGTCTTTGAACAAAGAACTGAACAAAACACACAAAGGAACGAAACCCAGGAACGAAGCCGCAAAAGCAAGGATTTATTAAAGGGAGAAAGCACATTACAGGGTGGAAGTGGGCCCGAGCAAGCAGCTCAAGGGGCCAGTTGCAAAGTTTTCTGGGTTTTAAGTACTCCTTTCGAGGTCCCCATCAGTTACCCCTTATCTGGATGAAGGATTTAGCTGGTGGCTAATTAAAGGCTGAGGTGAATTGGTGCCCTCTGAAGATGAAGGGATGGCCAGTGCTTGGCCCGCAGCCAATCCAGGGCACTTTCCCTTCCATCTGAGATGTGGCGGAAGTGGGAGGGCTGGAGGGAAAGTAGCCTTTGATGCTTTGCTACTCCAGGCTTGGGGAGATGGGGTTTTTCCATTTGGTTTAGCTTTAGGCAGTTGGCGTTAATTGGCCTTAGATTCCCTGCCCCCAGACCTTGGTGTTTTCCTTTGATCCAGCTTTAGGAAGTCAGCACGAATTGGCCTTAAGTTCCCTGCCTCACCTGGAGGAGAGAGGGGCTGAAGTTTATCACCAATATCCAATGATGTAGTCAAGCCAGGTGCTTGATGACATCATTTCTTCAGACCCCCGGTAAAATTTGTTTAATCCTAATGGTCCTGTTAAGAATTCCAGGCCAGGCATGGTGGCTCATGCCTGTAATCCCAGCACTTTGTGAAGCCGAGGCAGGCGGATCACAAGGTCAAGAAATCGAGACCATCCTGGCCAACATGGTGAAACCCCGACTCTACTAAAAATACAAAAATTAGCCAGGCGTGATGGCAGGCGCGTGTAGTCCCAGCTACTTGGGAGGCTGAGGCAGGAGAATGGCTTGAATGCAGGAGGTGGAGGTTGCAGTGAGCCAAGATCGCACCACTGCACTCCAGCCTGGCGACAGAGACTCCATCTCAAAAAAATTAATTAATTAAAAAAAAAAAACTGGCATGTGAGGTGAGGGCAGTCTTGTGGCACTGGGACCTGAACCTGTGGAATCTGATGCTATCTCCAAGTAGCATCCAAATTTAGTTCAGTTAGGCGGCAGCCTCCTGGTGTCTGCTGGAGAGGAATGCTCTGCAGAACTGCTTGCTTGGTGTGTGTGGAAAAATCCCCCACATCTGGTCGCAGAAGTGTTGCATGTTACTGTTTGATAGTAAGAAAAATAACTATTGTGTTTTTCTGTATTCTCAGAGAATTCCATGCTCATAGATCGGATGACTTAATATTGGTTTTTTGTTTTTTGAGAAAGAGTCTCGCTGTGTCTCCCAGGCTGGAGTGCAATGGCTCCATCTCGGCTCACTGCAACCTCCACCTCCTGGGTTCAAGTGATTCTCCTGCCTCGGCCTCCTGAGTAGCTGGGATTACAGGCACACACCACCACATCTGGCTAATTTTTGTATTTTTAATAGAGACAGGGTTTTGCCATGTTGGCCAGGCTAGTCTCAAACTGGCCTCAAGTGATCCACCTGCCTTGGCCTCCTGAAGTGCTGGGATTACAAGCGTGAGCCACTGCATCCAGCCCTGAGGACATTAGGCTGAGTGAAATGAGGCAGTCATCAAACAATAAATGCTGTAGGATTTCGCCCATATGGACTAGCCAAAGTAGTCAAAATGCAGAAACAGTGCAGCAAGGTCGTTGCTGAGAATGGGGGCTGTAGAATGGGGCTGGGGTGGTAGGCAGTTGGTTTAATGGGTATAGATTTTGGGTTTTGCAAGATTGAAAAGGTCTGAAGATCTGTTTTCCAACAGTGTGAATAGACAACACTGCCGACCTATACACTTGGGGTTAACATGGTATATTTAATCTTTTTTTTTTTTTTTTTTTTTTGAGACAGTTTGCTCTTGTTGCTCAGGCTGGAGTGCAGTGGCACGATCTGGGCTCACTACAACCTCTGCCTCCCAGATTCAAGCAATTCTCATGCCTCAGCCTCCTGAGTAGCTGGGATTACAAGCACAGAGCACCACGCCCAACTAATTTTTGTATTTTTAGTAGAGATGGGGTTTCACCATGTTGACCAGACTGGTCTCGAACTCCTGACCTTAGGTGATCCACCTGCCTCGGCCTCCCAAAGTGCTGGGATAACAGATGTTAGCCACCATGCCCAGCCGGTATATTTAATCTTAAGAGTTTTTGCCACAAGAAAAAAATAATAAATCTTCAAGCCTTTTAAATTTAAAAGAAACTACTAAACAGAATTTCCATATGACATCAGTTTCTGTTGTAGGTAGAAATAAATAGAAACATATGTCCACACAAGACCTTGAGCATGAATGTTTATAGCAGTGTTATTCATGACAGCCAAAAGGTAGAAACCAATCCATTATTGAATGCACGGATAAAATATGTAATAGCCATACAATGAAAAATATTAATAATTCCATCATAAATCTAAATGATGTACAGGACCAAACTACAACATGGATATCCCTTCAAAAAACGATGGTAAATGAAACCCAGTTAAAAATTCCCCATATGGTATGATTTCGTTCATATGAAAGTCCAGAGCAGAGAAATCTGCAGAGAAAGAAAGTCAATTGCTGACTGCCTCGGGCTGGGTATTGAGGAAGAAAGATGGGAGAGGATGAGGGGCGAGTGGATACCTAAAGGGTACAGGGTTTCTCTTTCAGGTGATGCAAATCCACTGTGGTGATGATTGCACATATCTGTGAATATACTATACCAATGAATTGTACACTTTAACTGGGTGTATTGTGTAGGATATGCATATTTGAATAAAATGGTTGAAATAAGTAAATTCATTAGGGGTTTTAGTCCAATTTGTTGACAGTATTGAGTTTCCAGGTTTATGCCAAATTTACGTACCCCTTTTTTCTTTTTCCT